CTCCATAACTCCCTTCTAAACACCCCAAAATCCTCTCCTGACCCCAATAACTCCCTCCTAAACACCCCAAACTCCCCTCAAAGCTGTCCCTGATCTCTCTAACTCCCTCCTGAACACCCCAAAAACCTCTCCTGATCTCTGTAACTCAATCCCAAACACCCCAAAAGCTGTTCCTGATCTCTGTAACTCCTCCCTAAACACCCCAAACTCCCCCAAAATCCCTTCCTGACCCCCCAAACCCCCCCAGCACTCACGGCCAGGCACCAGTGCACGCCCAGGTGGATGGGCACGAGCAGCAGGTCCACGGAGAAGATGTCCACCTTCTTGGTCCACCTCTTGACGGCGCCGTAGCCGGCCGAGCGCAGCTTGGTGAAGAAGAAGGTGTTGAAGGCGTGCACGGCCGGCAGCCCCTTCTCCTTGCTCCGCTCCATCAGCAGGTTCATGTAGAAGTTGATGATCTAGAGGGGTAAAAAAAAGGGGGAGGGGTATTAAGGGGGGATTTTTTGGTGGTTTAGGGGGTTAAAGATAAAAAAAGAGGGAAAAAAAGCGAGGAATTTGGGGTTGGGTGAGTGGGGATTTATTGATGGGGAGGTTTTTTTGGTGGCCCTGGTCATGGTTATGGCCATTTATTATTATTATTATTATTATTATTATTATTATTATTATTATTATTATTATTATCATCATCATCATTATTATCATTATACTTATCATCATTATAATATTATTGTTATTATTATAATTACCACCATCATTATTATAATCAGAATTATTTTTACTATCGTAATTATTTTATTACAGCGATAATTGGTATTATTATATTATTTTTATTATCATTATTAGATACTAATAATCATTATTTTATTAGTATAGTTATTATATTTTACTATAGTTATTATAATTGCTATAACTATTATGATAATAGTAATTTTATTACAATTTTCATTATAGTAATAATTATTTTATCATTATTATTTTCATTATTTTATCATCATTATGCTGATCACTATTACTATTTTATTACCATTACTTTATTATCTTTATTATCATCATTATATTACTAATTTTATTATCATAATTATCATCATTATGGTATTATTTTATTATCACTATTATTTTATTATAATTACTATCACGATAATTATTATTTTATCATTATTATGATGGCAATCATTATCACTACAATTACTATAATGACCACTATTTTATCATTACTACAACCATTATAATCACCATTATTACTATTTAATCATTATTATCATCACTATTATTTTATCATTACTATGATCATCACCACTATTATTTTAATTATTGTGATAACCATTATTTTATCACTATTATAATTATTATCATTACTTTATTATAATTTATTATCATTACTTTATTATAATTTACTATTTCAATTATTATTATAATTACTTTATCACTATTACAATTATTGTTATGACCACTATTTCATCATTATTACGATCGTTATAATCACCATTATTACTATTTAATCATCATTATTTTACGATCACTATTTCACCCGCTATTCCCGGAATTCCCGGAATTCCCGACCTCGTCGTTGAGCCAGTTGAGGTTGTTGAGGGTCTGGATGTCCTTGCGGGTGATGGTGAGACGGAAAGCCTCGCTCAGCACCTCGTCCTGGTTCCCGCCCCGGAACACGCTCTTGATCTCCTTCTCCATCTCCTGCGGGACCACACGGAGCTGGGAACGCTGGGAATGGGAATTCCCGACGCCCCCGGCACGGGGGGAGGGGCACAGACGGGCTGGGGAATTCCTGATCTTCCAGCTCGTCCCAAAAGATCCACCCAACTGATCCCAAAGGATCAACCCCAACCCATCCCAAAGGATCAGCCCCAACCCATCCCAAAGGATCAGCCCAACCCATCCCAAAGGATCAGCCCAACCCATCCCAAAGGATCAACCCAACTGATCCCAAAGGATCAACCCCAACCCATCCCAAAGGATCAACCCAACTGATCCCAAAGGATCAACCCCAACCCATCCCAAAGGATCAGCCCAACCCATCCCAAAGGATCAGCCCAACCCATCCCAAAGGATCAACCCAACTGATCCCAAAGGATCAACCCAACTGATCCCAAAGAATCAGCCCAACTGATCCCAAAGAATCAGCCCAACTGATCCCAAAGGATCAGCCCAACTCATCCCAAAGGATCAGCTCAACTGATCCCAAGGGGGTCACAGATGGGCTGGGGAATTCCTGATCTTCCAGCCCATCCCAAAGGATCAACCCCAACCCATCCCAAAGGATCAACCCCAACCCATCCCAAAGGATCAAACTCAACCCATCCCAAAGGATAAACCAAACTGATCCCAGGGGGGTCCCAAACGGGCTGGGGAATTCCTGATCCTCCACCTCATCCCAAAATATCAACCCAACTGATCCCAAGGGGGTCACAGACAGGTTGGGGAATTCCTGAACTTCCAGTCCATCCCAAAAGATCAACCCCACCCCATCCCAAAGGATCAAACTCAACCCATCCCAAAAGATCAACCCAACTGATCCCAAAGGATCAGCCCAACCCATCCCAAAGGATCAACCCCAACCCATCCCAAAGGATCAACCCCAACCCATCCCAAAGGATCAGCCCAACCCATCTCAAAGGATCAACCCCAACCCATCCCAAAGGATCAAACTCAACCCATCCCAAAGGATCAACCCAACTGATCCCAAAGGATCAGCCCAACCCATCCCAAAGGATCAGCCCAACCCATCCCAAAGGATCAGTCCAACCCATCCCAAGGGGGTCCCAAACGGGCTGGGGAATTCCTGATCCTCCACCCCATCCCAAAATATCAACCCAACTGATCCCAAGGGGGTCACAGACAGGTTGGGGAATTCCTGATCTTCCAGCCCATCCCAAAGGATCAACCCCAACCCATCCCAAAGGATCAGCCCAACCCATCCCAAAGGATCAGCCCAACCCATCCCAAAGGATCAGCCCAACCCATCCCAAAGGATCATCCCAACCCATCTCAAAGGATCAACCCCAACCCATCCCAAAGGATCAAACTCAACCCATCCCAAAGGATCAAACTCAACCCATCCCAAAGGATCAACCCAACTGATCCCAAAGGATCAACCCCAACCCATCCCAAAGGATCAACCCCAACCCATCCCAGGGGGATCCAAGCCAGGCTGGACAAAGGGAACTGAACAATGGAACTGGGAATTCCTGGACTTAACCCAACTGATCCAAGGAGGATCCAAAATATTTGTAAGAAAATAAAGCAAATTTGCAATAAGAAAATAAATTTGCAATAAACTAAAATTTGCAATTAAAAAATTTGCAATAAACAAAAACTTGCAATTAAAAAATTTGCAATAAACTAAAATTTGCCCTTAAAAAATAAATTTTCACCAAAATAAAATTTGCCCTTAGGAAATAAATTTGCACTAAAATAAAATTCGCCCTTAAAAAAATATAGTTGCAATTAAAAATAAATTTGCACTAAAATAAATCTGCACTTAAAAAAATAAATTTCCAATAAAATAAACCACATTTTCCATCCAATCCAATCCAATCCAATCCAATCCAATCCAACAAATTCACCATAAAATAAAACTCGAGGCTGTTTGTTTTTTTTTCCTGACAGGTTAATAAATTGTCTGCTGTCCCAAACCACCCCCCACCCACAGGGCTGTTTGTCACCCACCTCGGTGATCTCCGGGAATTCCTCCTCTCCCTCGGGACCCTTGGGATGCTCCTCCTGCTCCTGCTCCGGCCCCACCGTCACCGGGATCTCCTTCTCCAGCGGCACCCGCAGGTTCAGATCCACCCGCCCGGGCAGCGCCTGCTCCCGCTGCTGCAGCCGCTGCAGGAACCCATGCAGTGTCAGTGGGATCCACGGGGATCCATGGGGATCCACAGGGATCCAGGGAGTCACTGGGATCCACAGGGATTCACCCTTTCCCACACAGGTTCAGATCCACCCGCCCGGGCAGCGCCTGCTCCCGCTGCTGCAGCGTGAACATGGTGTCAGTGGGATCCACGGGGATCCACAGGGATCCACTGGGATCCAGGGAGTCACTGGGATCCAGGGAGTCAGGGATGGAGTCAGGGAGTCACCCCTTCCCATACAGAGCATTCCCTGATTCCAGAGATCAGGAGGATTTAGGGATGGAGTCAGGGATTCATTCCTGCCCACCCAGGGCATTCCATGATTCCAGAGGTCAGGGATGGAGTCAGGGAGTCACCCCTTCCCACACAGGGCATTCCCTGATTCCAGAGATCAGGAGGATTCAGGGATGGAGTCAGGGATTCATTTCTGCCCACCCAGGGCATTCCATGATTCCAGAGATCAGAGATGGAGTCAGGGAGTCACTCCTGCCCACCCAGGGCATTCCATGAGTCCAAAGATCAGGAGGATTCAGGGATGGAGTCAGGGATTCACCCCTTTCCATACAGGGAATCCCAGGAGTCCAGAGATCAGGGGGATTCAGGGATTCACCCCTTCCCATACAGGTCATTCTATTAGTCCAGAGATCAGGGATGGAGCCAGGAATTCATTCCTGCCCACCCAGGGCATCCCATGATTCCAGAGATCAGGGGGATTCAGGGATGGAGTCAGGAATTCACCCCTTCCCATACAGGTCATTCTATTAGTCCAGAGATCAGGGATGGAGCCAGGAATTCACTCCTGCTCACCCAGGGCATCCCATGATTCCAGAGATCAGGGGGATTCAGGATTCATCCCTTCCCACCCAGGGCATCGTCCAGGGACACGGGGGATTCAGGGATGGAGTCAGGGATTCACCCCTTTCCATACAGGGCATTCCATGAGTCCAGAGGTCAGGGATGGAGTCAGGGATTCACTCCTGACCACTCAGGGCATTCCCTGATTCCAGAGATCAGGGGGATTCAGGGATGGAGTCAGGGATTCACCCCTTCCCACGAGTCCAGGGACATGGCAATGTTTGAATGATGCTCCCAAGGATTTGGGATCAGTGGGATTTGGGGGGTCCTGTGCAGGGCCAGGAGCTGGGATTTTGGGGATCACTGGGATTTGGGGGGTCCTGTGAGAGGGCAAGAGTTGGACTTTGGTCCTTGTGTGTCCCTTCCCACTCAGGATATTCCATCATTCCTTTTCTCCCTTCCCTCCCCTCCCAAACTGGATCCAATTTTTCCCATTTCCCCCCCCATTTTTCCACCCTTTTTTTGCTCTGGGATTCCCCCTCCAGACCTTCCTCCTCCTCCTCCTCCTCACCTGGTTCTGGAGCTGCAAAGCCAAAGCTTTTTTCTCCTCAATCTGCCTCAACCTCTCCCGAGCTCGGGAATCGTAAACGCTGGTCCTGGAAAAAAAAACCACCTTTTTAGGGTTTTTTGGGGGATTATAGGGGGGGAAAAAACCATCAACCTTTTAATTTCTCATCCTCCATAAAAAAAAATAGAGAAGGAAAGATGAACTTACAGCTCTTTGATCCACAGCTCTGCCTGGAAGAAGGGAGGGCTGGAAAAAAAAAGAGGGGAAAAAAAAGGGAGAGATTTTAGTGGTTTTCCCCCTGGTGGGAAAAACAGGGAGTCATGGCTTGAAAAGTGGGGTCTCCTGGTGAAAAACCTTCTCCCTAAATAAACCATCAACCCCCCCTTTTCCTTCCTTCCAGGAGCTCCTTCTTCCCTCATTCCCAGGGTTCTCACCTCGGGGCCGACGTCCTGGGATCCTTCACCTTCAGCAAAATGACGGAGTCGGAGCCTGAAGGGACAGGAAAAAAGTCACTGGAACTTCCACTTTCCTCACTCATTTTCCTCACCCACCTCTCCCATCCAGGCAGGAGAAAGGTTTGGATGGGAATTTCAGTCCCTTGCCAGTTTTCTTTTTTTTTGGGGGGGGGGAGGGGGTTTGTTTTTACCTTCGGGCTGGGCGGTCGATGCCGGCGGAGGCTCATCCCGTTCCTGGGCTCTGGAATTGCTGGACTGGAAGATGCCGGAGGGGAAAGCGGGGGAAAAGCAAGGTGGGGGCTTGGGAAGGGGCTGCCCCCGGATTGGGGGGTTGCTGGGGGGGTGGGGAGGGGCTGGGGCAGCTCTGGGGGCTTCGAAGGGCTTCGAGTCCTCCTCGCCGGGCGGCTCCTTCAGCAGGGGCTTGGTGGAATTGTTGGGGCACCTGGAGCTGGGGACAATCAGCAGGAAAAGGAATGTGAGCAGGAAAA